GCAATTGCCGCAAATCCCTTAATAAACCTCTGATAGTACGAGGCCAGTCGGCCAAAAAACTCGGTTTCAATTGCGTTCAAAAAATACAAAATGTCCTTTTCGACGAAATGGCAGTTTTCAACTTTTCGGGCCTGGGCCAGAAGTGTACGTGGCAGGGCACTTTGAGCATCCACAGTGGAAGACTCCCGAGTGTTGGAAGGTAGCTTCGTCAACTTACGCTGGTGTGAAGTGGTGGTTTAATGTGCACCATTCCAGGGTTTTCTGATCCTCAAACTTTTGAGAGAAATCACACCCCTCTGGCCCTCCAGCCCCAAGACTCTTTTTTCCCCAAATTTTCTGATGGGGCAAGTACATTGATGTCACTTTTGAGGAAAAACAACATGCGCCGGCAAAGGAAACACGCATTGAAAGTACCAATGGCTCGAAAAAGAAAAAAAGGCAGGGTGTCATAACTACAGGGGTCGGCCGTGGTGTCAGACGGGGAAAGAAAAAGAAAAAAAAAGCCCACTCAGGATTCTTTTCTAAATTTCTTAGTTAAACACGCGCTGAAAGTACCAACACGCGCCTGTGATAAGCTCAGATCCGTACCGCACGGCTTGCCGCATCCCTGAGGAAAAATCCCCCGGGAGCCCCGAAGTACGGATGCGAACAGGAAGGGGTTTTTTCTTTCTTTTTGCTTTCTGCTTTTCTTTTTGAAACGGCTTTTCTTTCTGGCTAAATAATTCGCGCGCGGGCGAATAGCGGCCGCGGTATGAAAACCAAGAAACGGTTTCGGTTGGGACTTTTTGAATTGTTGCGCAAACACGCCTAAGCTCCGATTTCTTCGCGCGTCTCGCACCCCGTTTCTTGCTTTGCATCCCCGCGCCATCTTCCTCTCTTGCTGCGCGCGTTTCCCTCAGGCCGGACTCTTCGTCTTCCCCTACGCCCAGCTTGATCCTTACCCCGTCTTCTTCCGCGAAGTGATTGGCTGCGTAGTTGGGATGCTCGGATCAATGTGGAGAGCGGGAAAACGCGCACCACTTGAACGAACACCCCAATCACGTAGGACCATGCAACCCCGAGGGTTGAACCCTCTGACTCCCCACCTTTCTTCTGTCCTGCTCATCTACACCCTGCGCTGCCCGCACCTCGCGCTGACAACCCGCCGCCTCCCGCGCTATAAATTCGCGCAACCCTCTCCTCTCCCTCTCTTTGATCTCGGATGCAATGCTGCGCGAGCTATGCGCGAAAGTCCGCGGCGCCGAACAGGCTCGACAAGCCCAAGGACGGGCGGAGTGACGACGTGGGGTGGACCCGCGGTAGTYTCGGGGCGAAGCAGTCGGAGGGACTGAGCAGTGGTGGGGATTGGACGYCGGCCGCGGCAGGGCCTTRTGGCTATGGTGGTYGGTGGTCTTGGGRAGTTTTRAAGGCTGMGCCWGGGGGCGGCAGTTAATTGAAAATTTTTGTGTACAAGAAGGACTCACTTTTATCTCCATTGCTGCTTTGTCTATGCATGTGGTGTGTGTGAAGCCCCGAGTGATGGGAGCTGGGTGTACGCATGAGTGATGTCGAAGGTCTATGGATGATTAGATGTCCTGTCAAGGGTTGTTGATTGCATGCATGTATGTGTGTATGTACTTGTCCGGGCGGGGACGGGGGAACTGAACTGGGGGGGACCGTCTACTTAGGAGTATGAGTGTGTTGATCCTGTTGTTCCCGTCCCCTCCGCGGCCTTTCCTGCGCGCACGCGCTGTCTCGGTCCAACTCTCTCTCTATCGCCTTTCTTTTTGAACTGATAGTCATCGCTTTTGAACTTCTCGTCCCTGTCCCGGTGACGTCAACCACCTGCGTCCGCGCGGACGGTCGATGCCCCCGCAAGGGGAGAGAGCTTAGATTTCGTCATCTTTGCCCAACGCACCCATTTTTGAGAGAGAAGAGTTGCGTCGAGTGTTGTATGGAGTCGTTGTTGGTTCGGATGATCGGGAGCGCGGGATCTTGCCCGTGTTCATTGCGCCCCTCCGATCGTCTCCTCTCGCTACCGACGTTCCCCATCGCAGATGACGACAGCGTCTACTGCGATGCGGACGTACGGCGCGCGCTGAGACGGACGGAGCAAGTGTGCTGGCGAGACCCGCCTCGGGCGTGTGATATAAGGGGGAACTGGTTTGTCTTGATTGATCGCTTTGATTCCCCGACTCTAATATTGCCTTATACGGGTTTGACGGTGTTGCTCTGGTCGGCCGCTCACGCCGCGTGGCGGCCGCAGTTTGATTGTCGCTGGTGTCGCCAGGGGGACTCGTGTTCTTGGCGACGCTTGGTCCTGGGTTACGAGGGAGCGACTTGTTTCCCCGAGCTCTCCCGTAATGCGGGGGCGCTGCCCGCGCAATTTCGAATTCGGATGCCGGCGGGTCCTCCCGCCGCTTTACCCTCTCGGAAACTCCCGCGCGGACTTTGCGAATCCGATGACGAGGCCTGAAGGCTTCAAACCCACCACCTATCCCTCGAACCCATGACGGCCGGAGTTTCTGTCTTCCGCCGCCATGGCCCTCTCCCCTTGATGCCTTTTCCCGTCCTGATGCACGACGGCAGTTCGTTTTTGCAGAACCCTTCTGATTTTATCGCTCCGAAGTGATCCGACCCCCACGGGACTTCGCGGCGACAGTTCGACTCCGGGTAACCTCTGGCACGAAACGAGAGCCTCCCGTTCCGCCCGGGAGACTCAACCCCTACGACCAAAAATCCTCGGCCACGCCCCTCCTAGAACTCTGATCGGCGATCCAATTTGGGAAGCTGCGAGGGGGCGTGAGGTTGCGTATCACACGCCGGCAAAGGAAACACGCAGGGTGTCATAACTACAGGGGTCGGCCGTGGTGTCAGATGGGGAAAGAAAAAGAAAAAAAAAGCCCACTCGGGATTCTTTTCTAAATTTCTACCCGAATTGCGGTTTTCAAACCCAATCCGTCAGTGTCATACCCCGTTCATGAACGGGGGTGTCTGTGACCGGACCCCCGTCACCGGTGGGCGGTCAGGGTAGTTACGGGGAGCAGAAAGGGCTTTTTTTTTTGTAGGAGGGTGGGGGTCATCGGAGGGTAACTCCCCATAATTTTTAAACGAGCATTTTTTTTTTTTTTTCCCATCACGGGCCCAGTGCCCAAGGCTTATATTTCAAAATAGAGAATTTCGAGGCCGGGGTCCTCACAGTATACCCGGTATAAACTTCTGGGAGCATTACCCAGTTTGATACATGATGGCTCCGATCTATTCGTGGGGAGCTGCACCTGCTGGAAACAAAGTCATCTTTAACACACTCAGTTCTCAAGCTGCTCCATCTGGTCGGAAGGAGAGACTACACAAACCTCTTCACCTAAAAGGCGCCAGCTGTATATATCTCAACAAGCCTGTGTGTACCTCTCGGCCAATCTCTGGCCAGMAATTGTTCAAAAAGTTCAGGTTTGTTCATTACTGTTCATGGTGTTGCGGGATAATGTCCCGAGGACAGGGCTTGGGGACCATTCTACTGGCTTGGCTGCTTCACAGTGGGTGAGGCCCCCCCCATCAACAATTCCTCTATGGCCCTCACTCTCTCTCCTGTCTCTTATACACATCTAGATGTGTATAAGAGACAGCACACACACACACAGACACACACACACACAACGCTCTCTCTCTGCACCAAGGAATTCTCCAATCTCGTCTCCTCCCCTTCCAGATTCGGGCGTGTTCAACCCTGTTGTCCTCAGTCTCCTTCGGCTCGCCGCCTTTCATGTCGCCAGAACCTTCGATATCCATTTTCTTGTCCTCACCTCTCTTCTCAGTCCAATAAACTGTACCGCCCAAACCTGCATTATGATCTTCCCTTTCTTTATCCCAAATCCTCTGATTCCAAAGATTCATATAACCATTATCATCATCATCATCATCATAACGATCTTGAAGACCCTCTTGTTGGCCTTTGTAGTGATCTTCTCCATGAAGTTCATCCTTTTCACTGTGTTCCACCTGTCTTATCTTTTGTTCACACTTAACCATGCCCCCAGCTTCTACAATGCCTTTTTCTCTCAATACCTCACTATCACCATTTTGAGGCCGATCATCCTGCTGGCACTGCCCTATCACACAGTTCCACTCCAGTTCACATCCACAGTTTCGGCACCAAACATTTAACTCCATAGGAAACCCGTCGCCGATTTTTCGGAAAATAGCGCGTTAAAATCAGATTGAAGTCTCTTCTAAGTGCCTCTCACAGTGGGGCAGCACGGAATAGGTTAAAAAAGCAGATTTGATTAGCAGAAAGGTTTGCTAATAGGCAATACGATGAAGCAAAATCCGTGAGCTCAGGAGCTCACTGGGCAACCAAAGGCAGATATAGCAGAGAGTCACCAAAGATACATGTTCGAGGTAGACTCTTGAGTGCAAGCGTTCCCTAGTAACCAAAGGAAGAGGATGAAAAGAGAGAAAACGAGCACATATAGGAGAAAGTCGCCAAAGATTCTTGCACAACAAAGATTCTTGAGCGCAAGCACTTCCTAGAAAACAAAGGAACAGAATGTAAGCTCCGGGGAAGGTCTCCGCACTAAACAGAACTGGAAAATGACAAAAAATCAACAACTGAAGCACGAAAGATGCACCTCGTTCCACCAATATCTCAACCTACATTCACATCCTCTACGTCCAGCTCTCAACGTCCGAAAGAGACAATCCAGAAACAGGCAAATCTTCTACCGTTCGCAGTTACCCCAAGGAGCGCTATATGCGCCGTCAATAAGAGTATCTCGCCGGTCAGATAGGGATCTCCCAACTCCAGCTGTCAGCGAACGGGGCACGTCTACTGAATCTCGTTATCTGCTGCCAGTAAGATTATATCGACGGTCAGATAGGGATCTCCCAACTCCAGCTGTCAGGGAACGGGCACGTCTCCTGAATCTCGTTATCTGCTGCCAAACTCGGACTCTCGCCCTGTGCCGTAGATTCAGAATCACCAAGACGGTCGTTGAGTTGCCTGTGCTGTAAAGCTGATGCAGATACCGCCGAACGTAGACGCCCCAAGGCTACTGCCACTGCCAAGTGGGAGACTCAAGGGCTTTCTCCTATCGCTTGTCCGATAAAGCTTCTCCGCCGTTGGTCGATGAGGACTATTCCAAGTGTCCGAGTCACATCCGCAATCTCGTACTGCTCTGCCCGCACCGGCTTCTGGTACTTCCCTGAGAGCCGTAGCTATTCCTTCTTAGGAGCACAGCAGCTTTCCACAGCAGCCCCTATCAGCGGCGAAGATTCAATATGCTCAACCCGATCCCGGCTCGCGGAACGCGTCGACCCATCTTCCGCTTCTTTTCTATTGCTCTCCCCACCATGCTCTACCATGCTCTAGCTTATCCATAGGAAGTTCGCCATGAGTTGGCGCCCTTCGGTTCAAAAGGTTCAAAAGGTTCAAAGTCTTCAGATTCTCTCAGAAGTAACACTGACCCCTCCACCCGATACAACACCACCCCTCTTCCCCCTTTCCCTGGACAAGTTCACGCCACCATTGCTCGAGCTCACATGTGAAGCTCTACGGCTCCGTGGCACGCCTTCCCCGTGCTAAGCGCCTCGGGGCTTAGCGAGCGAACTCCGCTATCTTCCAAAACCCTAACTTCTTAGCGCAAGCGTCGCGGGACTAGAGCGCTACGGCGCCGCCTCCCACTTCGTCCACTGTCACCTCCCATTCGTCTTTTCATCTGCCAGGATCTTTCTTCTGTCTTTCTTTCTCCTAAACGAGCATTTTTGTTTGTTGCTTTAGAGGTTATTTCGATTTTTTTTATTATTATTATGTTTTTTCTTTTGTCATTGCGATGTGGGTCTTGTGGCGACGGTGGCGGGTTGAGCCGGGAAAAAAAAAACACCGTGCTCTCAAGGTTTGGCCGGTCACCGTGAAGTTGCGTGAACGGCCGTTCACGGCCGCAGGGACATATGACCGGCCGGTCACCGTTCACTGACCGGGGCTGGCCACCTTCACGATGCCGGCAGTGCATACCGTGATATCTTTCCAGGCGGGTGTTATTTTTATGGGTTAAGTGTCTCGTTAGACACTCCTAAAAGAATCCTTAAATTTTTAGGACGAGTCCTAAGGATTTTTAGGATTTCGTGCGTCATCGTTACACGCAATCCTAAAAATCACCTTTTAGGATTCGTCCTAAAAGGTCTCCCGTGGCCGGTTTTCATATGCGTATATGCAGCCGCGTCGCCAATGTTCATCCATTCCTGCCAATGTCCATCCAATCCCCGCCAACGGCTACCGTTTGTGGCCGTTGCCTGCGTCGACCCACAGAAAACCTCCGATGTCCAACCACTGACCCGACGGACCGCTTCTGCAACAACAACTCCATGTCGACGGTGCCATGCACACGAC